ATTCTCAATTCCTTCACTCAGATAAAATATAAGACGTTGCCTTGGTCTTTCATAAAATTATGAAACACCAACTTTAAGAACATTTAATTAGCTAGACAGTGATACATGTTTTTAATCCAGCACTGAGAAGTTTGGGGTGGGGTCAATGTCCTTGAGTTGAAGGCCAGCCTGGGCTACACAGTGAAACTTAGTCTAAAAAAAACAAAGCAAGCAAAAGGATGTTTAATTATAGTATTCAAAAGGGATTATCTAGCACATTACTAGTGGCCCAAGTATGAGGCTATAAGTGGCAGCCTTGAAGACTCTGTGCCTGGGAAGAAGCTTCTTCCTGGCACGTTGTTAAACATTTATTTTTCCAACTCTAAAAACAATGAAACAATGGTGTGTGTGCATGTGTGTATGTTGGCTCCCATGGAGATTATCTTATTATGTTCTTCAATTGCAATAACTGATGTGTGGCACCAATTTTTCTCTTCTGTTTTCAAGCTGTAATGTTTTGCAAGTTTTCACTATATCATAGTTTAAGGTACCGTAAGCACATTTTGAAAGTATACACAATTACTATCTGCAGGCATTTCACATTGAATTACAAAACAGTACACTCTGAAGCATCATTTATCAAATTAGAATATGGGCAGGCATCACCTGATGATCTTATTAAGATGCTAATTATGACTACAAAGGAGTTTGGATGTAGAATGTTTGCACACTTGGTCCCCACTAGGTGATCACATTTTGGAAAGTTGTGGCAACTTTTCAAGGTAAGACCTCCTTAGAGGAGACAAGGAGGGTCAGCCTTGAGCTTTTGCTGTCCAGTCTCTGCTTCCTGGCATCAGGAGTATAACTCTATGCATCACACTCCTGCCAACAAGCCTTCCCCTTCATGGTGTACTATCCCCTCTCACACTGCGTGTCAAATTAAACAGTCTGCCCCTTAAATTCCTTTTCTGGGGGTATTTTGTTACTGCAAAGAAAATAATTACTAACACAAAAGATGTAATAGAGTGGCACCTGGAGCGAGCTGGTGATGCAGATCTGAGCTCACACTTTGTGCAATGGGGTGAAAGACAGCATCTGCCAATGTTAAATGAAAAGTCACTATGAAGGTAGTGAGCAAAGCACAGCCCTAGAAATGACAACTCTCAAAATGGTAAGTAACAAAACCTAGTGGATGAGAATTCCAGACCTCATTATTTATTTATCTTTAGAAACTTGAATCCAACATCATTGCTCATTTTGATAGCAAAATATCCAGTTCGAGTTTTCAAGGAAGTTGATTTCACCTCCACAGTTGGACATTCTACTGTACACAACTAAATAATGTGTTCAAAACACTAAAAACGGCCTCGGGGTTCTGGAAGGAGGGCAGGCAAGGAAAGAACACTCGCCAACTATTTGGAAAGAGGTCTTTCTGCTTATGCAGGGATTTACTACGAACGTATTGCTCCAAGCATTAACATGGGGCTCATACAACACAGTTGCCTTTTGTTCAATTTATGCTGATCTAATTCTAATTCTGTGTTTCAACTATCTTTGGAAATAATCACTATATACGCTGAAGAAGAATCATGCAGCCAGTAAATATAAGAATGAATCCTGACTATCTGACAAAAGTTCATTAGTAACGACATTGACTAAGAAAATATCCAAACAGGTGGTTTAAATTTCTTTCCAGTTCTTTTACAATTTAGAGTAGTCCTTCTGGCTTAGTATGTTGTCCAGCAATAGTTTCTGAGACAGTTCAAAGCAAAGAAAAGGCCTGGTCTTCTCCAAGTTTGTTCATCTCCCTCTATCCAATGTCACACATACACAAGTCCACATGATGAGCAGGTAAAAGCCAGTGTTTCCGTAAAATCCAAAATGAAACAATTATCTAATATGCATAAATGGCTAGCTGAATCTCGGCATTCCTCTGTGAGGAATGTTCTTTTCCTATTGCTGCTAGAACAAGTTATCAAAATTTTAGAGGCCTAACCTCTATAAGCTTATTATTTTACAGCTCCAGAGGTCAGAAGTCCAAAACAAGTTTCACCAAGATGAAACTCAGATGTTCGCAGCTCTATATGCCCTCCAGAAACTCTAGGGGAAAGTCCTGTTCCTCACCCCTTCCTGGTCTGAAGATCCTTCCCCCATCTCCACAGTCAGCAATGCTACCATTCCTGTCACTCAGCACCCAGGTACCTCCTGAGTCTTGTCCCATTTTGTTATTCTGCCCCATTAAGGGGCTCCTGACTACACAGAGCCCAGTTACTTATTCTGCATATCCCAGAAGGATAAAACTCACTGTATTCCACCTGAAGCATTAATTGTCCTCTTGCCTGGTAACAACATAGTCACAGGTTCTGGGCTTTAAGGTGTGGAAATCACTGGGTCTCTTGATTCCCCCACATAAAGACAGTCTTTTCCACTCACTAACTTGAATTCTACAATAGCACTCTAGTTCCTTTAGTCTTTCCACACTAAGAAAAGCAACTCTCAGGCAATAACAATCAAAGGCGACTGGTAACAACGAGCTGTGTCCCAGCTTTTGAAACTGCTAGAATGACTACCCTACCCAGAGACAGATTTGAATTCGTCCAGTGTAGCTACCACCACTACATCTGTGTCTGGATACAGGAGCCCAAGTTTCCTGAACCCTGTTCAAGTAATCTGATGCCACAGAACTAGAAGCCAACTATGGCTGTCACGATTAGTGCCCTCACTTGCAATCCAAGTTGGCCAGACTTGGGAAACTTCATTAAAACTGTGAAAAGCAAAGGCCCACTTTGAAGATTGCCTAGAATCCCTAAAATTGCCCAAGATACTAGTAAATAAAGTTTACTCACTGTCATTTAAATGCACACAGGAATGTAAAAACAGGTAACTTTCATTAGGATCCTCCTTTCAAGCCATCACAGGGATCTGACAGCTGTACAATGCTCCAAGGACTCTGAGCCTCTAATAGAATAATAACACTCTGCATGTTTTCTGGAATACAGTTCAGATGTAGTTTTTCTTACACTGATTAAGTGTAAGAAATAATTACACTGGTTAAGTGTAATTATTCAATTTCAACCAGGGGCCGCAGAATGTGACAAATTTGAATGATTAGATAAACAGAGGGCTAAATGTGAGATGAAGATTTAAACCTGAGTTTAATACTGAGCTACCGAAAACAAAAACAAAAACAAAACAAACAAACAAAAGACCTGACTCTATTACTGTTTCAAGTCATATGAGGGTAGTGGGAGGGAGAATGTTTCTTCTGAGTCTTGTTTTCTAACCCATAATAAGCAATGCCAATGTAAAGCAGCAACAATGCCTTGAGTTAACCAACACTCCCAGTTCCTACCCCTTGAACCCAATGACCTGTGTCTTGGCTCTCCAACAAGAACCATGTAAGGCAAAAGCAGAGAGGAACTGTGATCATATAGGGTATGGCTTCATCCTTGGCCACACTCAAACAGGCCAACTCGAGCTGAGGCAGGAATGAGAGAAGAGGCCTTGACTCAAAAGGAGTTCTGCTCACCTTGCACCCTGAAGGATTCTGAAAACCTATGCACGTATTTCTTTAATGCCATGTGAACTAACAAGTTCAAACACTCTTAAGAAGCTACACTGTTCCTTGTGCCTTGTGCATGCTTTAAAAGCTTTCTGTGCATGATTTTCAGAGCCTTGGGGCCACCAATGAACAATTGAGTGTACTCTATGCAAGCCTCTGCTGCTCTACACGTCTAGACAAGCCAGTCTCCACTGACTAGCCAATCACCCCAGCCAGGAAGGTAATCCTGGAGCCAGCCACCTACCTAAACCCTACCAGGAACTGACCAGCAAGGCCCTACCATGTACTCAGGTGGACAAACTGCAGGAAGAAAGGAACACTGGCAAGGCACTCATATGTGCAGAGGGAAGTTAATCCCAAGAAGGGGTTTAAAAGCCCAACTCAGGCAACACCAGGCAGCCCTGTGCCCAGAGACTGCTGGGGACTGCAAATGTTCTCTTGAGAGCCTCTACCTGCATTTCTTTAGGCATCTTAAACCTCTGGCAAGTTCTTCAAATAGGTTCAAATTTGTCAAAATGGAGGGTCAACAAAACTCGTGCCAACCATGTGGATATGCCAAGCTTATGCATAATCTGAGACAGTCCTAGCATTCCAGGAGTTGGCTGTATATTGTTCTCTGTGATCTTTTAATTGCTTTTGTTTCCACACATTGTCCATGCTTGATGACCTTTTAGTGCACGTGTGACTTGGTCTTGGTGACTTCGCACTCTCAGAAGTTCCAGGTGTACCTCATGTCATTACTGGGCATTGGGGCCACCCTCTGATCACCTACAGAAGTACTCTCAGTACCCAGAGCATAAAAACTGAAAAATAATAACTTTTGGCCTTCTGCCCCAGGTTAAAATTATCATGTGTCAACAGATGATTATGCAAACTACAAACTTTCACTGTAGAAGGAAGACTGGTCTGTGTAGGCCACAGGGTGAACTGCTCTCCCAGTGTTTGCAGGGGAAGGTTATAAACAAATTGTTGACAATGGCAGAGAAGCATGTGCAAAGCTTTCATTGGGTAATTTCTCTCCCTGGGAAGGAGGTGCTCTTGGGTGTTTCTAAGCCATGCTCCATGGACTCACACACTACTAAGTCTCCTTGGCGTGCTGCAAGTTTACCTAGCAGGTGGCTCTGGAGAATGAACCTGACGGTACTCATGATCCAAGCCAACAGATGCTTTTGGTGACAGAATTCTCTTTCCAGGCCACTTCTTAGAAGCTGGCCTGTGCCCGTTTGGCTGTGCCCCCATCTTTTTTACCTCCCTTAACCAGGTAAAAGTGAAAGGGCACCCAGGCCTTCATAAAAGCCCAGAGTAGCTGTTGGTGGTGAGCACACGTTGGTGCTCTCATGTCACACGCATGCACATGCGCGCGCGCGCACACACACACACACACACACACACACACACACACACACACACACAGTCTGCACACTGGACGGTGTTGGAACAGGACAGCCAATGGCCTTACCAGATCAATGAAGGTCAGGAACTTCCAGCTCCCCCCGTATGTCTGGTGCGAGGGCATTTCGATGGCCTTGTAGTTGCACAGGATGGAGCAATAGGACAGCAGGATGGCTACCCGCAGCACCTGGCAGGGGACCAGCGCCATGTTCGCGCGGCCTGGCCCGGCGGGGCTGCTCACGGGGCGGGCGGGCTGGTCGGCGGGGCGGGCGCCGTGGGAACCGGGGCGCGGCGCGGCGAGGGGCGGAGCGCGGGAGGCGGGGCGCGTCCCCCGGGACCGGCGCCGCGGTGAGCGCACCGGCGACCTGCGCGGGCGGGGCTGGACGGCCGGCGGCGGGCGGCCTGTGCCGGCTCTGGCGTCATCTGCGTCATTCTGCAGCCGCGTTCGCCGTCCGGGCCGGGCGCCCCCTAGGCGGTCCGCGAGGTCCGCATCCCGGGGCCGCCCAGGAGATGCTCCCTCCACAGCACCCGCTGGGATCAGAGCACGTAAAGCCACACACCTCCCACCCGCGCCGCCCAATTATACCTATTACTTAGGATTCAGTTGAGTGAGGATTAACGTTGATGAGCATTTATGACGGTAAAACCTCTTATAAGTTACACAAGGCTTTATTAATTATATATGTAACAGAAGATAAAACACGATCTTTGAACAAATTATTTTAAAAGTTTTTATGACGTGTGTGTACCTGTCCACAGGACGTGTGTGTGTGTGTGTGTGTGTGTGTGTGTGTGTGTGTGTGTGTGTACATGTGCCACAGGACAAATGTGGAGGCCGGAGGACAGTGGTATTCTCTCAGTCCACAGCAAGTGCCTTTATTAGCTGAGCTCTTTCACTGACCAGGGCAAGTTTTATAAATAGAAATCTGTGATGATTGCCGTTATTGCTATGAGACTGCATTCCGTTTAAAAGCCAAACCACGCAGAGGATGGAAATCTCACCCACGCATGTGTCATTTAATACAAATCTTTCGGAGTTAAAATTCCTTTTGCACTTCGACATCCCTCCTCCCCACCCCCACCCCTTATACTACAGCACCAGGACTCAATGAGAGAAAAGTAAATCTCAGCTGGATTCCCTCAGCCTTCCAGTAAACGTTGTCACAGGGAAGTTGCAACAGTCTGTAGGCAGAGTGGGGTTTTTAATAATTTTTTTAAATCATGATCATGTTTCACCAACCAGATAAACGGTCCGGTTATGAGAAGACCACATAGGTATTTCCTGTGGATCCATTCAAAACAGGTGTCCCCCTCAAATAGTCTCTGAGTCAGAGGGTGTAGGGGGAAGATGGAGGGGAAAGCATAGTCTCAGAGGTAAAGAGAAGCAAGCAAGTCTGACTTGTATCCTGAAGTTTTCCAATCAACCAGGGAAGAGAGCCACTAGATCTTAAATGACATAATTATGCTGAAAGAAACTGAAGTTACAAGATAATATTACTAACATAAAAACACTCTTTATTCAGAATTTAGACTCTCATCTTCATACTAAAACCAGGTCTATTTGTGTGTGTGTGTGTGTGTGTGTGTGTGTGTGTGTGTGTGTGTGTGTGTGTGACCTTGCTGAGTATTCATATAATTGCAAGAAAAATTGAATTTATTGAAGATCTGTCAATCTCACTAAGACCTTAATAGAGTTTTATAAAGTGATGTGACATTTCAAAATTGGATACAACCCTCCTAGTTTACATTTTAGAAAGCAGTTAACAAGATTCCCCCCCCCGTAATTATAAAATAAAATGTTATTTTAACAACACTATTTAAAAGTTTATTATGGACAATTTTTAAATAAATACTATGACATCCAGTGTTCTGTTGCTTTTTTCCCCAATAGGGATGTTTTGAACTTATTTTAACAGACTTACTTTCATTATCTTGATTTGGTAATCATGGTGAGATGATTTTACGTTTTTAATAATGAAACATTTTCCTTAAACCTTGACTCAAATCATGTTTTATTGGAATATCAGTCTCTTTATTCTGAAGACTCCTTTATCACAGTTTCTTAACATGTTTGGGGGAGTGTCTCGCTTTGCTTTTGGTCCATATCTTCGTCATGGCTTACAGAGATTCTTCGTGAGGCTATAGCAATCTGAATATTCGTTATAATTTCAATGTATCAGGTACAGGATGGCATGGATTTTAAACTCCACTCAAAATGTTATTCTTTCTATGAAACAGATTATCTGTTGGTACATATATGATTCCTCATTGGATATCAAGAATACCAGACTCACTGCATAGAAGAAATGTCTGTGTGCCACAATCTTCACTTTTTTACCCTGCTGCACAACTCCTGAGGTGAAAGGGGGAAAAACAGCCTTGTCCACTTGAGTTTTGTGAACACAGTAAACAAACAGAACACACAGAGAAGACTGCAGTACTGTGCTTTAGCTTCAAGTTACAGCAGAGCTTTTAATTTAAAGACTGAAGATACTCTGCGTAAGTACTTCTAAAAACTGGCACAAGCTCTTCATTCATGTGGGCGTGTGTGTGTGTGTGTGTGTGTGTGTGTGTGTGTGTGTGTGTGTGTGTTGCCACAAAAATTTTGCTGGGGAGACATTACACAGGTCTACTAACCCCAGATAGGGATCCCATGACAGATGGAAGTAGGGATTCCACTGAATTCCAATATAGAGAACCAATAAATTTTATTGAGGTTATTTACAGGAATATGGTTAAGGGGTTATTTACAGGAGTAGAAATAACTCAAAGAGAACTGTATCCCCAAAGTCCACCCCAGAAAAACTGGGGGACCTGGAGCACACCGCACAGCCTGCAGTCAGCTCAACAAATTGCAGAGTTCCCTTCACAATTTACTCAGGTGGTCTGAATCGCTGCCAGGCAGCTCAGCTGGTTCCTACTTCTGAGCTGGTTTGCTCTTAGAGCATTCTTTGCAGTTTCATAAAGGGACTCTTAGCTTTTATTGCTTACTCTGGCAGGGATGGGCCTAATGAATCTACTCAGTTTCAGGAACTTTCTGAAGCTTTTTTGAGTTGTTTACCTTCCTGTTTAAGGTGCCTCCTAAAAAATGAAATTATTCAATCTCCTAGAAGAAACTGTTACACAACAGTGAGTGTGTGTGTGTGTGTGTGTGTGTGTGTGTGTGTGTCTATATGTGTCATTGTGTCTGTCTTGGTGTGTGTGTCTATGTTGGAGGGGTAATGTCATATTGGCATATTGTCTGGCATATCAGTGATAATATATACCTGCTAATTTGGGAAATGGCAGTGAATACTGTGTCTCCCTTATGCTCTGTTCTAAGAAGCCAACTCCATTAAGCCATAGGATTTGCTTTGAAATCCAGGAGGAAGTTCTAGCAACAGGGCTTTAAAATAGTCAATGATCATGCATATTTTGGGTTCTGAAGTGACATTAAATAAGCATTTTTCTGGCAGGTTTTAGTTTTTATGCTTGTACCCCTTCATATTTATACATATCACATAGGTAAAAGTTAAGAGGTTTGGGCATGGCAGAAATCCCCTCAACATGAACAAATAGTGATCAAATGTCTTAAAAATTAGAGACTGACATTCTCATAAAACAGAAGCTCAGTTGGGGATTATACCATATGTTTCACTTTAAAAAATATAAAATCATCTCCCTATGGTCAGCAAATGCCAAGATACAAACCCAAACCTATTAAAAGAGGTTCAAAACACTCCACTGGAAAAAACAACAACAACAACAAGATACTTGTTTGAATGTTATGTTATTTGCTCAAAAGAGAATTTCAAAAGGTGAAATTTGAAACCTTTGAGTTACAACTCTTTTCCTTCATTACACAAGTAGCATATTTACAATATTAAAATTATATAAACTATAACCACTGAATACTTTTGCTTCATCCTGCCACTCTTTACAATGCCAACAGTCAACTGGATGTGACATAATCTATACAAATTTTCCATCCTAAACATTTTCTTTCTTTTTTCCTTCTTTCTTTCTTTTTTTTTTTCCTGTTACATTTTTAGGTTTTTCAAACAGGATTTCTCTCTGTAGTTCTGGCTGTCCTGAATTTCACTCTGTAGATCAGGCTGGCTCCAAACTAACAGAGATACACCTACTTTTTCCTCCCTAGAGGTGGAATTAAAGGTGTGGACCATCATCTTTTTATTAACTTAGCTTTAATTAAAATTTTCTCTAATTTAAAATATGTAAAAACATAAAAACGAAACTAAAATAAATCACATTTAATGATTACACAGCATGAAATCATATGGACAATTTCATGTTTGGGCCAAAGTTTCCACCAATTTGGGATATATAGTAGCTACCAATATTGTAACTACTATGAATGCACTCTGTAACAAGTCTGCAGTTTTAACTGGGAATTCCACTTTTTAAGGGTATTTGGAGCTTAAAACCAACTAAAAAGCCATACCAAGTACACTTATTTTCTTTAATGTTTGTGTGTGTGTGTGTGTGTGTGTGTGTGTGTGTGTGTGTGTGTGTGT